ATTTTAAAATCCATAGTTTAGAACTTTTTTTTAATTTTTATTTATTTATTTTGAATGTTGATATCTTAAAAAAATCACAATTTTTTAAAATAATAAATAATTTTTAAAAAAAATAGAAAATAGAGTAATTATGTTGACTTTGACTTTGTTGATCATGTTGACTTCGACCGATCTACTTCTTGGTGCATGACTAGAACCAATTCTGGGCAATTACTTGCATTTGATCCTAAGATTGAACGTACTTGGAATAGGTAGAATAGACTTAAATTGGATCCATAGTTTAGAGCATTCTGATTGTGATCATTTTGATAGCATATCCGTGAATTCTGATACTATGGCTAATAATCATCATGAAAGGACTCTTAAAGAATTGACTGCACCAGATGTCACATACCAACCCTTAGGCATCCAATATCTTGATGTAGATGCTCCCTTTGAACTAAAATATGGTCTAATCCATTTGTTGTCGAAGTTTAATGGTAGTGCATGTGAGGACCCTCATAAGCATCTAAAGGAGTTTCACATAGTCTACTTAACAATGAGGCCTCAAGGAGTTCCAAAAGACCATATCAAGCTGAAGGTTTTTCCATTCTCCTTGGATGGTGGAGCGAAGGATTGACTATATTACCTGTAGCCAGGGTCTATCACTTACTGGATAGACATGAAGAGAATGTTCTTGGAGAAGTTCTTCCCTGCTTTCAGAGTAGCTACAATTAGAAAAGAGATCAGTGACATCAGATAATTCAGCCAAGAAAGCCTCTATGAGTACTTGGAGAGATTCAAGAAGCTAAGCGCAACCTGTCCACACTGTCAGATTAGTGACTAGCTGCTCATTCAGTACTTCTATGAAGGCCTTGCTCTGATGGAGAGGAGTATGCTTGATGCAGCAAGCAGTGAAGCTCTCATGGACAAGACACGATCTGTAGCTAGAGCACTAATTGACAACATTATAGAGAACTCCTAGCAGTTTAATGCAAGAGTCATGGCACTAGTAAGAGAGGTGCATAATGTTCAGCAACCAACCCATATGGTAGCAAATTCCAACAGACTTGAGAGTAGAATTAAGGAACTCACTACTTTTATGAGACAGCTAGCTGTTGCGCAACAAATTGTTCCACAAGGAGGGGTGACCATAGATTGTTATATTTGTTCCTCCATAGAGCACACCTCAGATTGTTGTCCTTTGTTGCATGATGGTAGCCAACAAGCTTCTGTCCACGGAGTTTTTAGTGGAAGATAAGACCAATACAAAGGTTCGAATTTCCAACAATCTAGAGACAACAACGGTCATACATGTTATAGTACCAATCTCATAATCCTACCTTCAATAATCATCCAAATATGAGATATGGTACCTCTGAGTAGCAACAACAGCAAGAGACTAGCCAAGCAAGTAATGGCTATAGACTACCCCCTACGAGGCAGTAGCAAACACAACAAAATTCTATGCCTTCGTTAGAGGATTTGGTTAAACAAATGGCCAAGAGAAATCTACAATTCTAACAGAATGTCAATGTCTCCATTTAAGACCTGCAGACACAGATTGGCCAACTTGCTATCACTGCAAACTAGTTAAGTCTCAAGGTTCTGGATAACTCCTTTCTTAACTAGAGGTTAATCCCAAAAACATGAGTGTCATAATATTAAGGAGTGGGAAGGAGCTGTGAGGAAACTAGAAAGATAAAGGGGTACAAAATGATGTGGAGACAGAGAAGCAGCAAAACACAGCAACAAATTACCTCTAGCAGTTCATAAATTATCACTACAAGGAAAAACAAATTTAGCTACAAAAATTAGCTATGGAATTATTCCGTAGCAAATCTCTAGCTACTTAGCTACAAATTAGCTAGGGATAAAATTTTGTAGCTAAATTCACAAAAATAAGTGGCGGCTTATGGCGAGAAAAAATTGCTTCGATTTAGCTACAGGCTTTTGTGTAGCTAAGAAATTTTTAATTTAGCTACGGATTAGCTAGAAAAAATTTTCGTAGCAAAATTAACTTATGGTGGGAATAAGTGGTGCCTTATAGCAGGAAAAATTAGCTTAGAATTAGCTACGGATTAGCTATAGACTTTTGCATAGCTAAATTAAAAAAAATTTAGCTACGAATTAGCTACAAAAATTTTTCATCGCAAAATAAACTTATGGTGGCACCATCTGGGAGGAAAAATTTGCTTAGAATTAGCTACAGATTAGTTACAGACTTTTGTGTAGTTAAGAAATTTTTAATTTAGCTACGATTAGCTAGAAAAAATTTTCATAGCAAAATTAACTTATGGTGGGAAAAATTTGTTTGTGATTCGCTACGGATTAGCTACAGACTTTTGTGTAGCTAAATTTTTTTTAATTTAGCTACAAAAATTTTTCGTAGCAAAATAAACTTATGGTGAGAATAAATGGCGCCATCTGGTAGGAAAAATTTGCTTGGAATTAGCTACGAATTAACTACATACTTTTTTGTGGCTAAAAATTTCTTAATTTAACTACGGATTAGCTACAAAAAAAATTTTCATAGCAAAGGTTAAGTACAAAATATTCTTAGTGCAAAAGTTAATGTTGTTTGATATATTTGTTTCAAAAATAAGTTTTAAAAACTAAAAAAATATATTTATTTTTTATTTTTTATTTAATATTTTTAATTAGATGAATATATATTTGATATTTAATTTTAGTATTTATTATTTAAATATATTTTTATATGAAAAATAAAATATTTGATTAAAAAATTTTAAACCATTAAAGTTTAATACAATATATGAAAATAATTAATATTAAATTAAACAATAATGATTAATTTTAATATTAGAATAATTTTTAATAAAAATATAAATGGTAAAAATTTAACGAATTATGAAATAATTTGAATTATTAACCCATATAAAACACTCTAAAATCTATATAAATTAGATAACCTGGATTCATTATTAAAAAAAATCAAATAAATAAATAAAATTAAAACTCCTTAAAAATTATTTTTATTTTTATTGATATTATTTATTAACCAAATCTGAAATTTTATTTATGATAATTGAAAATACAATTTCTTATTAAAATAAATTAAACTTTAATTTTAAACCATAAACAGGACTAATTAGAGTTAAATAAAAATATAAAATTATTATAATAAGATAATATTTTATATATAATAAATTGTGAGGTTAAATTTAATTTTTTCTGTCTTGAAATTAAATGAAACACGTTATTTTTTGAATTTTTTGGCATGCTAATCACGTGCTCAGGTGGATTTATTTTTTTATGATTGAGAAAAATATATATAACAGAGTAAAAGACAAACTACGTTCAACCAGTTAAATTATTTATTAACTTACGTTAAATTCAATTAAAGTTTTTCTATTAACATTAACTAAATTTTTTAATATATTTTTTAACTAATTGATTGGGATTAAGAATTTGAAGTTGCTCCATTCTGTGATAGGTTGGTAGGTGATCTGCTTAAATAATGAAAATAAAAATTCATAGAGAATAAAAGTAATAAAAATATAGTTTTTTAATAAATTAAAAAAAGGATCATAATTAAAATTCAATTAAAAAGAAAATTTAAGTTAGACTTTAGAGTATGTAAAGCTTGGAAATAGGAAATAAATATGAGATAAATTGAAAAAATTATAATCTAATAAGTTAATTTGTTATGTCCAACTTAAGTAATTTTTAATTAGTTTGAATTATGTAATTCCAACCACTTATATTACTTTATAAATTAATTTTTTCTATAAATTATAAAATTTATACATATGATCAAATATTATTGATGAAAACCTGACATGTCTTGCAAGTTGATGGGTTAAATTCAAATTTGTACCCTAATAAATAAAAATTGGTGGTGTTAGTTACTATTTGTGTATTCATATCTTCCTTATTTTATGATACATATTTTATGAGTTTTTATATTAAATTAAACTACAAATTATTTCTTTTTAATTAGTTATTCACTTTAAGAAAATTTTAATTCCTTAATCATCTTAATTAATATTAAAATTTCATTAATCAATTGTTAATATACTAAAATATTATTATTTCATTATTAAAACAATATTTTATTGATTAAATTATCTTATTTTAAAAAATAAAAATTCTAAATGCTTACATTTTTTATTTTTAACCTATATTTTCATCGTCAATAAAATAATTTTAAAAAAATTATTTACTTTTTAAAAGGACCATCTTTATCACTTAACAATTTCTTTTCCCGTTGTAGAGACTCCTTCATTTTTTTTTTCTCATTCTGCGCAACCAATCGTTTAAACTTCCTTTATCCCTCCCAAGTTTTTCCCTGTCTACACACGACATTTTGTTTTTCCACTTTCTCTATCACGTGAGTTACTGAGGTAAGTCCAATCCCTAATTTAGTCCCAAAGTTTCTAATTTAGTCCAATCCTTATTTTGTTCTTCGATATTATTATCAAATTAGGGTTTACTTTTCTGTTTGTAATATCGTGGTAGAAATACATTCGGGTGAAAGTGGCGAAAGTATTTCCAATCGGTGCTTTCAAATAAAAGTTGCTTCATAGGTAAATGGTCCTCATTCTTGTAGTGCAGTTTCTCGATTATACTTTTTTTATTATTATTTTTTGACTGAAGAGTTTGTTTACTCTTCAGACAGTGGGGCTGTTTTATTTTCTTCTTGTGCGTGTGTAGTTGGAGTTTGCTCCGTAACAATTTGATATTTGCATGTTAAACTTGTATCGGACTGTAATAAACTATTCAGGAATGCATGACCCAACTTAGACGCCAGAATTATACATGACTTTGGCATTCATCTAGTGAAATAACAAAATTCAAGATACTTTTTTTGGGTTAGGATTTAAACATACACTTCCCTAGTTTTAAATCTAGATACAGAGTATTTTTCATTGTCTCCCAATAGATCCTGAAGATTATCACTTCGTGATATGCTGGTGACACTAGAACTTAGTACTCCAGAAATAGTGTAAGTGAACTCTTTGATTACTTTTTGCTCAGAATGTATGACTTCCTAAAGTTTTTCTGCAAGAGACTTAGCCTACACCAAAATCAATAACATAATTTAAAAATTGAAAACAAGTCTATATCAATATACATAATTCTGTTAAATTAACATTTTCACATGGCATTTTGGAGGACTGCCATTATTTTGGCAAACTATAATAGCAAACATGAAATGATAAAGAGCAAGCATAAGCAAAGTTGGTGTGGCATCACCTTATCTTCTTTAAGAGGAAGAACATCCCCAGATAAAGCAACCCGTGCTGGTAACTGCAGCATGGGAAGCAATTAACCAATTAGCTTATAGATTTATTTCTTCTCACTATAAGAGAATCCAAAAGCAGGTACAATTAGGACAAAACCATTTATTATTTCCTTTTATGGAGAACCAAGCTATAGTAGAAAAAAATTCTCATAGGATGATATAGTAGTTTCAAAAGAAAACACATATAATACATGCAGTACCTTTTTGATTGATTTCAGTAAGACCCCTAGTGGGCCTGGAAAGGGGCTGGTCACAGAAAATGAACCACGCTCATCAATGATTGCATTCTGCACTCAACACAAGTCAAATGTGATATCTTTGCAACTATGAAATATACTCAGATGTTTTAACAAATCTAGTCTCATTCTGATAAGTGCAAGTAAACAGTAGTGAGGGAACAAAAAAAGGATGTCATTCATTAGATGGTAGCCCTCTACACATATCTTCTAACAAGTTATTCCTACAATAGTACAATATGATGAACTCGACAGGTCAAGCTGATAGCATGAATTTAAACACAGAAACTAATAAGCAGAGGACAACAGATTAATCACCATCCAAACAACCAGTCATCATTAGAAGTAATTAAAAATTTGTGTTAATGTTATTATAATCCATATATTTTGATTAGTAGTTTACTTTTGCTTCTCTTATTAAATAAAAAAATTTCTATTATTGAAAGTTAGAGCAAAACATTTTCTTCTTGTATGTGATGTTCTGAAACGCTACTAAATAATTTGGAATAATATTAATGTGTTGTTTGCTGTAAAATATCTTGTTCTGAAACGCTACCAATAATATTCATTGGGTTTATTACAATATTTTCTATTATGTTTCCTCTTCCTTTGATTTATTCAATGTACATAGGCAACTGAGATGTCTTCCACTTTAGATAAATTGATAGGGTCCTTTAGAAGACGAGGAGTCATAATACATCTTCCACTTCAGATAAATTGACAGGGTCCTTTAAAAGAGGTCAGCATTTTGTGCACCGAGGCCTATTTGGGGGTCAATAACAGAACTTAGTTGCTTGTTTAGAATGATTTGCTCAACTGAGATTTGTGCTTCGGTTATGGGGAATCTTGAAGTTTCTGTGATTGAAATAATGTGCAAGTTAGAGAAGATTTTTCCACCATCCTTCTTTGATGTAATGGAACATCTCGTTGTGCACTTGCCTTATGAAGCTAAGGTTGGAGGACCTATGCAGTATAGGTGGATGTATCCATTTGAGAGATGCATGTTATACTTGAAAAGAAAGGTTCGAAATAAGGCGAGAGTCGAGGGATCTATTTCTGAAGCATATATATTAGAAGAAATTTCAAATTTTGCATCAATGTATTTTGATCCACATATACAAACAAGGCGCACTAAAGTTCCACGAAATGATGATGGTGGGGAGGTATTTAAAGACATATGTCTCTCTATTTTTCAACATCCATGTCGCCCATTGGAAGAGGTCATAAGAAATTCTTGACTGATAAAGAACTTGAAATTGCAGAGACATATGTGCTTGTAAATTGCACTGAAGTGGAACCCTATCTTTAGTAAGTCTTCTCAATTATTAGTTTGTAAGAAATTTTTTTTATTTTATATATATATATATACATATATTTACTAACTATTGCTCTAATTATTAGATAATTTGAGGAGTCATTAAGGGAAACAAATCCTAATATCACCAATGATGAAATTTTAAAAGTTCGGGATAAGGAATTCTGTATATGGTTAAAAGAACTTGTGAGTACTTCATGTATATGTCATTTTTATAAAGATATCAATAATGTTCTTTCTATTAAAATTTCTATTTCTTTTTTATTCTAAGGTACAATCTGGTGGTGTTGAAGACCCAATGATTCGACATTTTATTTATGGTCCTTCTAAGATTGTGACATTGTATAATGGCTTAATAGTTAATGGGTATAAATTTCATACTAAGGAATATGGAAAAAATAAAGCTACCATGAATAGTGGAGTATCTGTTAGATGTAGTATATATGGTGAGAATGACCTAGACTACTATGGAATCCTTGAAGATGTATTGGAGTTTTCATATTTAGGATATGAGAACAAACTATTTCTTTTACAATGTCATCGGTTTGATCCAATTGATGGAGTTAAGGTTGGTGAAAGATATGGACTGATTGATGTTAATTGTAGATCACTGCTTCAATCAAATGAACCATTCATATTAGCTGAGCAACCACAACAAGTATACTATACGAAATACCCAGTAAGTGGAAGTAGAGTTAATGGCCAATGGTGGGTAGCTTGTAAGGTTAGAGCAAAACTCTTCATGAATGAGTCATTTAAGTCTCTTGGTGAAGTATCTAATGCTTTATCTACTTCTGATTATTACCAAGATGATGAATCTCTAGGAGTACATAATATCACTTTAGACAATGAAGTGATTAGCTTACTTGATGCACATGATCCCATGGAAGAAGTGAATGTAGATGAGCTATCTAATTTGAATCATACTCCATTTACTGATCAGTTTATTGATGACAATGAAGAAACTTACCATAATGAGTTCTTGGATTTAGACGATGAACTACTTGATTCAGACTCAAGTAGTGACTCTTGAACGTTTGATTTTTCTTGCAAATGGTACTTTATATAATTATTTAATTATTTCAAAGTCATCTTTATTATCATTTAGTATTTTACCTTATATAATGCATTGTATAGATATTTATGCTGATTCGAGGTAGAGGCAGTCGACGAGCCCGGGGCAGAGGTCGATCTTCTCAGCCTATTCATGGTATATCTTATTATACATTGAATAATTAATTCTATATTTCTTTCCACTTAAACATATTGGATAATATTTTAAATTCTTTTGTAATAAACATGTTAGGTGATGCTTTCCTACCAGCTGCTACCGTATCAGTTGTTGCCCCACCAACTATCCCATCAGATGTTGCCAGGCCATGTGATTCTAGCCCATGTGATTTTACTACTCCTGTTACTATTTCTCCATCTCCAGAATTGCAGACTCTAAGCACCCACATACCTGACTCAATGACGGGTGGCCCAACTTCAATAGCTTTAACTGAGCCTTGTGTAACTGATAGGAAGAAAGTTATATCTGTGGAGGCTATTTCTAATCCGTAAGAAATAGTAATAGTAATAGTAATATTATAATTTTAATTATGTATCATATTGTTATTTCTTTATATTTCATAACATATAGGAGACGGTTTGTCCCTCACGAGGTGACTCGTAGCATTATGTCCTCTGTGCTAGTGAGGATGCCCAGCCCAGCAGAAAGGTGGAAAGACTATCCCACTAATATAAAAGATGCATTATTTCAAGAGTTTATGGTAATATCTTAATTGAGTTCTTTATATATGCTTTAAAAATGAAAGAGATATTAACTCATTCCTTTATTATTGTAGGAAAGATATCAATTTGCATCAAAATATGATCGCAATATGGCAAGACATGTATGGGAGATGACATGCAATGATCGCTATCCAGACATGTTGAAAAAAGCAAGGGCTAAAGCACTAGTGGTTGCAAACTCTACAAATTTGACTAATGCAAAGGGTCATGGGCCTAAGGGGATGAAAACTGAAGTTTGGGATGGATTAGTTGACATCTGGTTGTCCCCTCAATGGCAAAGAAAGTCAGAAGTTGCTCGGAGGAATAGAGCTTCTATGCCTGACGTAATGTTGAACACAGGAGGATCTATTAGTTTTTGTGAACACAAAAAGATGGTATAACAAATTTGATTCAATAATTTTTTTTTATGTATTCTATCTAATTGAATGTTGATTATAGGAGATAGAGAAAAATCAGCAAGTTTCTTATCGAGATGTGTACCATAAAACACATAAGAACAAGGCTGGAGCATTTGTATCTGAGCACTCTAAGAAATTTGTTGTATGTGGCTTAAACTTAATTTTTTATATTATTTATTGTTTTATACTATTTGATATATATATATATATATATATATATATATATATATATTGTTGTACATTATCATTAGCTGCCCATGTCTTTGGTTTTGTTATTTCTCTTGTATAGATATCTTCATTTGTTGACTTTCGTATATGGGGGAGATTTTACTATTCTGATTGTTAAAGATTTCAGTTTCAGGATTCTTGGCTTTGTTATTCTTTTTCTTGTGCGCTTTGTAATATGGATTGAAGATCTCAAGAAACATATAGTTATCTTCTCTTTTTCAATGAATTGAATATTATTCTCAAGTGGGTGATGTACATCTTTTGTTTGTTTTGAATTTGGTCATGTGTTGTTAGCCGTGGAAGACTTTCTGTCTATTACTTATCAATAATTTCTATTTGGGTTTCATAGTGAGTAATGAATGTGTGACCTTATCACTGAATATAGAGTTGTAATATAATAATTATATTGTTGGATACTTTTGATGTTCCTGTACTGTTATGATCTCTTGGCTGCTTTATTTACATTCTTTCCTTTGCATTAGATTGACACTACATCATCTTGTATTGTTTACTCCTGTAGTATAATCATATAAATTATAAATAAAGTATATTTGTAGAGTTGGTTAATATTTTACTTGTAATATATGCAGGACAACCTTGATAATACAATGTCACAAAAGTATGGTGAAGCATCATCTTATCCAGATGTGTGGTTAGAAGTTGCGGGTCCCACCAAAAAAGGACGGGTTTATAGCTAGGGTCACAGCTTACAGCTGTCAACTGATGGATCATCAACGTCTATAACTCCAGTATGTGCTACTTCCTCTTTTGTGTCTACTCCATCACAAGTAGCCATAGATGCAGCTGTAAATGCAGCAATGATATCTTTTGTTAGTACTCAGTTGGCACCGATGTTGGAGGGAATTTTATCCCGGTACATTAGCCTTCAAGCTCTAAATTTAACTCCAGTACCACCCCCTCGAGGTGAAGAACCATTAGATCAAATTGCTGAGGCAGAAGATGATGACAATGATTTAAGATTAGACTGATTACTATTTTTATGTTTGTATGTCTTGAATTTAAACTTTGTTTTTGTATTAATGATCAGATATTTAATACATTTTTCTTGTATTTACAGTCTTTAGATATTTAATATAGCGGTCTTTAAATTATTTATGTTGTGGTTAGAAGTTAATGTTGAATAATAAATAAGATGTTGGATTGAAATTAGCTACACAATTGCTATGGATTAGCTACAAAATAGTTAGAGACTAAATAGAAACTTTAGCTAGAAATTAGCTATGGAATCGCTACGAACTAAGATAGAAACTTTAGCTACAGATTAGCTACAAATTAGCTATTAAATAGTTAGAAACACTAGCTACAGATTAGCTACATAATAGTTAGAGACTTTAGCTACC